AACTTAAATTACAAAAAATTTAATTCATTGCTTCCACCTAGGTTCGAACCCAGGTGGAGCAAGACTTCACTTCAAGAGCCCAATATCGGCCCTCTCTCCTAAAAATGACCCTCCACCTTATTAATTAAATAATTTAATTATATATTTAGGCTAATTATGATACTACCCTTAGCCTGGAAAAAGACAATTTTACACCTAAACCCTCCAAACCTAAGATTTCATCTTTTTAAGTCCGGTAAAGACTCTTTCGAGTAAATCTTCGTATTCGAGAGCCCTACATGGTTGCACCCAACCTTTCCTAGCTCAACTAACTCCCTAAGTTAGTTAGCTTGGATGTATCAAGGATTCAGAGGTGTGGTTCTACGCGCATCAATCCGTGTGAACTCAGTCTAATCGTTGGCATCCTAGAAACATAATCAATTTTTAGGGTTGTTATATATATACACATATATATATATGTACATATACATATACATATATATATATATATATACACACACACACACATATATATATACATATACACACACACACACACACACACACACACACACACACACACACACACACACACATATATATATAGAAGTGTCCTAACTAGAACGACCAAGGGCAGAAAGGTGATTTTAGATTTAATTTTTTTAAAAATGTACTCTCTCCGTAATTCTAGAACCACACGACGCACAATATTTTAACCGAATCATCAGTATTCAATTCTTCCTTCCCTCCTCTTTCCAACTGAAGCTATAAACATATGGATTCTTCACAAATCTTCAGAATTCCAGGTATATTTTATTTTAGAGTTAGCTACGAAATTCTTTAACTTTTACAAGAATGAATTTATGATCGATTTCTGGGCTTATGACTTCATTATTATGTCAATTCTCTTCCCAAACTTTATATTTTCTTTATAAAGTTTATCATAAAAATTCATGATATGATCGATTTTTGTGCTTATGTCTGTTACTCTATACTATTGATCGCTCTATTTTCTCTTTGTGTCACTTTTGTATATATTTATGATATCAAATTTCACTTTGGGAGGTTTTTAGTGATTACGCCCTTTTAGCATATATTGAAGTCGAGTTGATGGCTCCTCTTTTGCTCTCTGTGTTTCATCATTTTCTCGTGGTAATAACATGATTAAGTTGTGATTGCATTTACTGTGACACTATTTTACAACATATATCCCAAGTCATTTTTCTATTTGTTTGAACATATATAGTAAATAGAACACAAACTTTTTGATAATCATCGATAATAGAAATGATATTCACTTGTTATAGGGGTGGGCTTTACAAAATACGAATCAAATGAGAATGTAGAAATTACTTTTAAATACAATCAGAAGAAAATGATTTCAATAAGTATCAAATATGATATAGAGTTGTAACGACCTTTTTAGTCGTTTTGAGCAGCAAATTTTATTTTTGGAAAAACTGGCTGAGACGACGGAACCCACGACGGACCATCATGGGCACGACGGACATCGAGGGGGTCTCGTTCCAAAACACTTAGAATTCTAAAATTTGGGTACTAAAATCGACTCTCTGAACTTCTTGACGAAGTGGCAGGACGGACCGTCACAGGCATGACAGACCGTCACAGGCATGACGGGCCGTCACAGACTCTTCAAGGAATTGAGTCTCTGAACTCTGTGACGGAAGCAGCAGGACTGACCGTCACAGGCACGACGGCCCGTCACAGACTGCGTAAACCCAGGCTGGGTCAGATTTCTTTAAATGTTTTAAGGGACGTTTTTTGGACTATTCCTGCTATAATTATAAATTTAGTGGGTTAATGTTAATAATTTAACTACTTGAGGGTTAAAAGAGATAACCTTGAATTAATTAATGGGTTAATTCACTATCTTTTATACTTAATTATATGCTAATTAGGGTAAAAGAAAGAGGGTTTGAATAAGAAAAAGAAAAGAATAGAAAGAGAGGGAGAGAACGATCGAAAGAAGAGGGAAACGAAGAGGAAACAAAGCTTTGGGAAATTGCTTGCTTGGTCACGAATCTTCGGTGGAGGTAGGTTATGGTTTTTATGCTATTCGTAGTAAACTCTTAATAGCGAATGATATGTATTGGGTAGTGTTGTAAACCCTTCTATATGCTTAATTGTATGCTTGCATGAATATGATTATATAATTGTGATGAATAAGCATGATGAGTCTATTGAATCTCTAATCCTAAATTTACCTTGATAATGATGATGCCTTGGTATAAGTGAAGGCTTGATGAACCAAAGTAATGAGATTGAGGATGTCTTGGTATAAAAGAAGGCTTGATAAATTAATAGAATGAGATTAGTGGAGCGGGTGTCACTAACCGACACGTAGAATTAGGGGATCAGGTGTCATGAACCGACACGTAGAATTAGGGGATCGGGTGTCACGAACTGACACGTAGAATTAGGGGATCGAGTGTCACGAACCGACACGTAGAATTAGGGGATCGGGTGTCACGAACCGACACGTAGAATTAGGGGATCGAGTGTCACGAACCGACGCATAGAATTAGGGGATCGGAGTGTCATGTACCGACAAAAGAGGAATAAAGA